GCGTGCTCTCGTAGGCGGCCCGGGCCCGGCTCAGGGAGGTGACAGGGTAAGCAATACCGTCGGGGTCATAGCAGTGGTACCAGACACACTTAGTGAACCCCATGGTTTCCCAGAGCTTATAGGTGAATTTGTTCAGGTCCTCATGCAGGCACCCTGGGGGCATCAGCAGCAGCAGCATCTCCTCCTCCTGTGAGGGCAGGGTGCCCAGCAGCTCGCCCAGGGTGGCCACCACGGTGACCTGTGGCTGCAGCAGGGCTGGGGACAGCTAGGGAGGGGACAGCAATGGTGTCAGGGACCTGGTGGCACTTGTGGCCTCCTGTGGTGCCTTCCTTCCCCCAAGGGGTGCCATTGGACCCCCTCTGTTCCTTTGTCAGCCTCTTGTCCCTGCTGCCACCCCTGCCACCCCGGTGTCCCCTCCCGCCCCATATCCCCACATCCCCCATTGCCCCATTGCCCCATACCGTGTCCCCTCTGTCGCCTCTCCCTGCCCCCCCGTTGCACCTTATGGAGCTCCACACTCACTTGGGACAACTTCAGGATGCGCTGGGGACGCTCCGGGGGTCGAAGGAGCCTTGAGATGTCCTCGATGGCTCTTTGGCACCGCTTGGCCACCTCACGGGTACTGGGCCTGGCACGGCCACTCTTGCTACTCAAGTCGGGGATGTCATCAATTATCCCCACCAGGTGATCCTTGGCCAGGCGAGTGTTGGCCTCCCACAGCCGCTCGGCCTTGGCCACCCTGGCCACCAAGTCCTCGGGGACATCGGGGGACGCCTCATTTGTCCCCTCCAGGGCGGCCTCGATGTCCCCGAGCAGGAACAGCAGCTCCTGAGGGAACGTGGTGGCTTCGTCACACGCGGCCACCAAGCGCTCCAGCGGCCCCAGGGCCACCTCCAGCCGCTGTCTCACCATGGTGGCCCTTGTTGCCTCACTGGCAGCCACCATGGCCCCTTCTCTAACTTGGAATTCAGTCCTGGCCGCCACCTTGGCCCCCTCCTCCCTCCTCCCGCCACCTCGGCCCCCTCCTCCCAGGGCCTGACCCTGCTCCACCCTGTGTTCCTCAGCTGTCCCATCACGGGCAGCCTTGGCCTGCAGCTCCCTGAACTGGGCGGTGAGTGCCTCAGTGGCCACCTCGCTCCAGGTGTCACGGAGCTCCGTGGCCTTCCTGGCCAGCTGGGCCCAGCTGTTCTCGAGTGCAGACACCGACCGCTGCCACTCTTTGGCCGCCATTGTCACGTTGTCCTGGGAGGTCTGTGGGGTGCTCTTGAAGGTGGCCAGGGCCCGGCTCAGGGAGGTGACACCGCCATCACCATCATCGGTGACAATGCAGCGCCTCCAGGTGTCATCAATGCAGCGCAGGGCGACCCGCAGCTCCTTGGTGAATTCCTCCAGGTCCCTGTGCAGGCACCCTGGGGACTCGAGCAGCATCATCTCCTCCTCCCGTGTGGGCAGGGTGTCCAGCAGCTTGCCCAGGGTGGCCACCACGGTGACCTGTGGCTGCAGCATGGCCAGGGACAGCTGGGGAGGGGACAGGGGAGGTGTCAGGGACCTGGTGGCACTTGTGGTGTCCTGAGATGGCCCCCTGCCCCCGAGGGTTCCCCTTTGTGCCCCTCCCTGGAGGGCTCTGCTGTCCGTCTGTCCCTCCCTCGTTCCCTCTGCCACCCTCTGCTGTCCCCTCCATCACCCCGCGCCAGTCCCCGGGTCCCCTCCCCGTCCCATCGCACCTCTTTGGGCTGCGTGGTCACTGGTGACACCTTGGGGACACCTTGGCGACGCTTCGGTGGCGACGGAGCCGCGGGAGCAGCGCCAGTCCCGGCCCAGAATCGGCCCCCAGGGACGTCGCCGAGAAAAAAATGGCGGAGCCGCCTCAGAGAGGGTCGGAAAGTGGCTGGGCGCCCGCCCTTTCCATGGAAGCCCCAGGATCTGGGCGCTTTGGCTCAATCACAGGGGATTTAGGATCCACCCCCAGTCGATTTAGGCTCCGTCCCGCAATTTCCTGGCGGATTCTGCCGGGCCCGGTCCAAAACCGGTCCCGGTGGCGGCGCCAAGAAAATGGCGAAGCCGCCTCAGGGGGGGCCGGAAAGGGGCTGGGCACCCGCCCTTTCCAGTACCGCCCTTATTCATGGATACCCCAGGATTTGGGCGCTTTGGCTCATTTCCAGGGGACTTAGGATCCATCCCCAGTGGATTTAGGCTCCATCCCGCCATTTCCAGGCGGATTCCGCCTCTCCCGGCTGGATTTAGGCGGGAACGCGGGGCGCTCTGAGGAGCGGGCGGAACTGCCCTCACCCAAGATGGCGGCGCGGCTTCACGTCATAGACGGGCAGTTTGCGCTGGTTGAGCCTAGGGAGCGCTCCTGGGGGACCTTACTGGATGGATTTGGGCCCTTTGGTTGAATGCCAGGGAATTTAGACTCAGCACCAGGGGAGTTAGACTCCATTCCGCCACTTGCAGGGGGATTCCGCCGTTCCCCGCTGGATTTATGAGGGAACGCGGAGCGCTCTGAGGAGCGGGCGGAACTGCCCTCACCCAAGATGGCGGCGCGGCTTCACCCCGGAGACGGGCAGTTTGCCTTGGTTGAGCTTGGGGAGCGCTCCAGGGGACTTTACTGGATGAATTTGGGCGCTTTGGTTGAATGCCAGGGGATTTAGGCTCAGTCCCAGGTGATTTAGGCTCCATTCCGCCATTTGCAGGCGGATTCCGCTGTTCCCGGCTGGATTTATGAGGGAACGCGGAGCGCTCTGAGGAGCGGAACTACAAAGATGGCGGCCCTGCTGCTCTCGCGAGACCTGTTGCGAGAAGCCCCAAACGGAGCGCGGAGCAATCAGAAGCCGCGCTTGGCAGAAGTACTGGCGGAAGTTCCCCTGCGGCGGCGTCGGCGGCCGCTTCTGGCGGAACTCTGACTCTCTCAGCGCTTTTATTTTTTGCTATTGCATTCATTTTGATTTTTTTCTATTTTCCTAATCAATTTCCGTATTTCTGACTTGGAGTCTCTCACTGGTTTGGCTTTCAAACCAGAACAATAAGTATTATGAATATTTAGTGAAGTAAACAGGGCCAGGAGACTTCTTCTCCTCTTTAATGCCTTTATTGAAAGTGATCAGCTCAGGATTGGGCAGCTCGACAGATCTGCAGCGTCCGTCGTCTCTCCCAGGGCAACTCAGAGAAAGAGAATATGCACAGCTCTGTCCACAAGGGGCAGAGCTGGGGATCAGATCCTCGCGGGAGCCTTTAGGGCGTGCTGATCCCGTCAGATGCTACTTCTGCCGGCTGTCTTAGCAGGCCCTCATCTCCGGGGGCTTCTCCCGTGGTCAGGGCGAGAGGGTCCGAAGGTGTTCCGCGTCTCTGCAGGCTCAGCATTCGGCTCCTCACGTCTAGACATCACTCCAGTCTCTCAACTCTTAACTGGCTCGTTGTTTTGGGGTCTTCTCTCTACACCGGGGGACCCATGCTGCATTGTGGTCTTGGAGTCACTTTGCATAGCCCCCCTCACCTTCTCAGGTCTCTTCATCCTTCTGGGAAAAGGACACCTTAGCCTCGGGCGAGGCTCTGCTAATACAAAAGGAGCGATTAGCCTCAACGCCCCGTGATTACAATAACAAAACACGAAGAACTTGGGCAGCTACCGTGCTCTGGCTGCCTTTTTGCAACTTTTTCTCACAAAAAAAATATTACCCGAATTTTGTTCATAACATTTAGTATTATAGCTGTAATTTAACTAAAACATAACTATTACAAGTAGAACTATTTAGTGTTACAGCTGTAATACAACTATTTTAACTATATGTAGTATTATAGCATGGAGACAAAGGGACATTGGGGACATTAGGGACACTTGGGGACATGAGGAGCTGGTGGTACTTGAGGGGCTCGTGGTGGCACAAGGAGCTGGCGGCACTTGAGGGGCTCTTGGTGACATGAGGAGCAGGAGCTGGTGGCACTCAAGGGGCTGGTGGCACTTGAGGACCTGGTGGCACTTGAGGGGCTGTTTGCACTTGAAGGGCTCTTGGTGACATGAGGAGCTGGTGGCACTCAAGGGGCTGGGGACAGCTGGGCAGGGGACAGCAAAGGTGTCAGGGACATGGTGGCACTTGTGGCGTCCTGAGGTGGCCCCTTTGTCCCCCTCCCTGCAGGGCTCTGCTGTCGGTCTGTGCCTTCCTTGTCCCCTCTGCTGTCCCTTCAGCTGCCACCCCCTGTCCCCTCTGCCACCTCACTGCCCCCTCTCCCTTGCACGTGTCCCCTCTGTCCCATCCCCCCGGCTCCGTCGCAGCTCTTGGGGCTCAATGGTCACTGGGGACATCTTGGTGACACCTTGGGGATGCTCTGGTGGCAAAGGAACCCCGGGACTGGCTCCGGTCCAGGCACAGAACAGGTGGCGGGAACGGCGCCAAGAAAATGGCGAAATCGCCTCAGGAGGCGCTGGAGAGGCCCGAGCGGGATCGGGATCGCCGGGAAAGCCCGAGCGGGATCGGGAAGGGCCGGAAATGCCCGAACGGCTTCGGGAAGCGCCGGAAAGGCCCGAATGGGTTCGGGAAGCTCCATCCCGAGCTCCAGCCCCACTCAGGACACATCGCTATGGGGGGGATGTCACCCCCCCCCCCGTTTATTTTGGAGACATTTGGGGACTTTGTGGGACATTTTGGGACAATGGGGACATTTGGGGACATTTTGGACATTGGGGACATTGCGGGGGTTAGGGACACTGGGGACATTTGGGGACATTTTGGACATTGGGGACATGGGTATATGGAAATGAAGGGGGACATTTGGGGACACTAAGGACATTGGGGATTTTGGGGAGTTTGGGGACATTTGGGGACACTAAGGACGTTGGGGATTTTGGGGACTTTGGTGACATTGGGGACATATGGGGACATATGGGGACATTGAGGACATTGGGGATTTTGGGGACATTGGGGACATTTGGGGGATTGGGGACATTTGGGGACACTAAGGACATTGGGGATTTTGGGGACTTTTGGGGGACATTGGGGACATTTGGTGACATCGGTGCCACGGGTGTCACCTCCCCGCCGAGGGCCACAGGCGCTGGCAGAGCCCCCCGATGACAAAGGCCACCAGGGCCATCCCCGCCATGTCCTCCACGCTGGGCCCGCTGTCACCTGCGGGGGGACAGTGGGGACACGTCAGCGACACCCCCAGGTGGCACCGAGCCCGTCCTGGTGTCACCAACCCTGTCCCTGTATCCCCAACCCTGTCCTTGATGTCCCCAACCCCATTCCTGATGTCCCAAACCCTGTCCATGATGTCCCCAGCCTTGTCCCCAATTCCATCCCACGTGTCCCCAACCCCATCCTTGATGTCCCCAACCCCATTCATGATGTCACCAACCCTGCCCAATGTCCCCAGCCCTGTCCTTGATGTCCCTGACTCCAATCCTGGTGTCCCAAGACCCTCCAAACCCTGCTCCTGATGTCCCCAATGTCCCCAACCTCGCTCCTGATGTCCCCAGCTCCATCCCAGGTGTCCCCAACTCCATCCTCAATGTCCCCAGGTGTCCCCAGCCCCGTCCCTGCTGTCCCCAGCCCTGCTCCTGATGTCCCCAATGTCTCCATCTCCAATCCTGGTGTCCCAAGACCCTCCAAACCCTGTCCCTGGTGTCCTTAACTTTGTCCCTGATGTCCCCAGGTGTGTCCCCAGGTGTCCCCAATGACCCAAACCCTGTCCCCAATGTTCCCAGGTATCCCCAAGCCCTGTCCCTGATGTCCCCAACTCCATCCCACCTGTCCCCAACTCTGTCCCTAATGTCCCCAGCCCCAATCCTGGTGTCCCAAGACCCTCCAAACCCTGGTCCTGGTGTCCTTAACTTTGTCCCTGATGTCCCCAGGTGTGTCCCCAGGTGTCTCAAATGTCCCCAAAACACATCCCAGGTGCATCCCCAGGTGTCCCCTCACCTGCCACGGGCACGGTGACCCTCAATGGCACGTCCCAGGCCACATGTGTCACTAGGCAGCTGGAGCTGTCCCCAATGTCCCAAACCCCATCCCAGGTGTGTCCCTAATGTCCCTAACCCTGTCCTCAATGTCCCCAATGTCCCAAACCCCATCCCAGGTGTGTCCCCTCACCTGCCACCCACACGGTGACCCTCAGTGGCACATCCCAGGCCACATGTGTCACTAGGCAGCTGGAGCTGTCCGAGTGTCCCCAAATCCTGTCCCCAGTGACCCAAACCCCATCCCAGGTGTGTCCCCAATGTCCCAAACCCTGTCCCAAATGTCCCCAGTGTCCCCAACCCCATCCCAGGTGTGTCCCCAATGTCCCTAACCCTGTCCCAAATGTCCCCAATGTCCCAAACCCCATCCCAGGTGTGTCCCTAATGTCCCTAACCCTGTCCCAAATGTCCCCAATGTCCCAAACCCCATCCCAGGTGTGTCCCTAATGTCCCTAACCCTGTCCCAAATGTCCCCAATGTCCCAAACCCCATCCCAGGTGTGTCCCTAATGTCCCTAACCCTGTCCCCAATGTCCCCAATGTCCCAAACCCCATCCCAGGTGTGTCCCCTCACCTGCCACCTGCACGGTGACCCTCAGTGGCGCGTCCCACGCCGCGTGCGTCACCAGGCAGCTGGAGCTGTCCCCAAACCCCATCCCAGGTGGGTTCCCAATGTCCCAAACCCTGTCCCCAATGTCCCCAGTGTCCCTAAACCCGGTCCCAGGTGGGTCCCCAATGTCCCTAACCCTGTCCCAAATGTCCCCAGTGTCCCCAAACCCCATCCCAGGTGTGTCCCCATGTGTCCCCAATGTCCCCAGGTGTGTCCCCTCACCTGCCACGTGCACGGTGACCCTCAGTGGCGCGTCCCACGCCGCGTGTGTCACCAGGCAGCTGTAGCTGTCCCCAATGTCCCCAATGTCCCAAACCCCATCCCAGGTGTGTCCCCTCACCTGCCACGTGCACGGTGACCCTCAGTGGCGCGTCCCACGCCGCGTGTGTCACCAGGCAGCTGTAGCTGTCCCCCGCTGTCCCCGCGGCCACGCTCAGCCCCGCGCTCCGGCTGAAGGTGCCGTCGGCCGCGCGCCGGTGCCCCGAGCTCCAGCTCAGCCCCGCGGCGCCGTCCCCAGGGCTGCTGGCACTGTCCCCAGGGCTGCTGGCACTGTCCCCAGGGGCGGCGGCGGCGGTGGCACCCTCGGGTGTCACCGGGCGTGGCCGCGGGTCCCCCCGGGCCTGGCGCTCCCAGCGGATCCCAACGTCCAGAGGGAAAAACCCGACGGCGTCGCAGCGGAGCCGGGCTGGGACACCCGGGGACAGCACGGAGGGGACCAGGGACACCTGGGGAGGGGCTGGGGACAGACAGATGGACATTAGGGACACCTGGGGAGGGGCTGGGGACACGGGGACACCCAGTTAGGGACACTGGGAGGGGACTTGGATGGACTGGGATGGACTGGGAGAGACTGGGAGCTGGGCTGGGACACCCGGGGACAGCACGGAGGGGACCAGGGACACCTGGGGAGGGGCTGGGGACAGACAGACGGACACTTAGGGACACTGGGAGGGGACTGGGGACACCCAGTTAGGGACACTGGGAGGGGCTGAGATGGACTGGGATGGACTGGGAGAGACTGGGATGGACTAGAACAGACTGGGAGTGAACTGGGATGGACTGGGAATGGACTGGTATGGACTGAGAGGGACTGGGAATAGACTGGGAGGAACTGGGGACAGACAGACAGGGACACTGGGAGGGGATTGGGAGGGACTGGGATGGACTGGGAGGGACTGGGAGGGACTGGGAATGGACTGGGACAGACTGGGAGCCACTGGGAAATGGACTGGGAGGGACTGGGAGGGGACTGGGCACAGAGAAGGGCACTGGGACACACTGGGAACCCCTCCCAAGCCCCGCCCACCCCTCCCAAGCCCCGCCCACCCCTGCCGGCACTGACCAATCACGTTCATGTGCAGCACCTGCTGCAGCTGCCCGAGGGGCGTGGCCACGGAGCAGATGAAGGAGCCGTCATCGGACACCGAGAGCGGCGGCAGCTGCAGAGAGACCTGCACAGCGCCCCCTGGCGGCTGGGAGGAACAGCGAGGGACTGGGATGGACTGGGAGGGACTGGCATGGACTGGGATAGACTGGGAGGGGACAGGGAATGGACCGAGAGGGACTGGGATGGACCTGGGTGAGCCTGGATGGGACTAGGAGGGAGTGGGAGGGAATGGGATGGACTGGGAGGGAACTGGGAATGGACTGGGAATAGACTGGGAGGGACTGGGAATGGACTGGGAGGGGATTGGGAATGGACTGGGAGGGACTGGGAGCCACTGGGAGGGACTGGGAACAGGCTGTTCCATCCCCACAGCGCCCCCTAGTGGCCCGGGAGGACCAACGGCGCCTCCCGGTGTCCCCACATGGAACTGCAGCCGGGTTTCTGTGGACTGGAATGGACTGGGAAACACTGGGAGCCACTGGGAATGGACTGGGATGGACTGGGAGGGACTGGGAATGGACTGGGAATGGACTGGGAGCCACTGGGAACGGACTGGGAGGGACTGGGATGGAACTGGGAGGGACTGGGATGGACTGGGAGGGAACTGGGAATGGACTGCGACAGACAGGGAGTGACTGGGAATAGACTGGGAATGAACTGGGAGGGACTGGGAACCGGCTGTTCCACACCCACAGCGCCCTCTGGTGGCCAGGAGGACCGAGCCTATCCACTTGTACTGGCGCCCCCTAGCGGCTGGGAGGACCAACAGCGCCTCCCGGTGTTCCCACACAGAACTGCAGCTGGGTTCTGAGAACTGGGAGCCACTGGGAATGGACTGGGAGGGACTGGGAGGGACTGGGAATGGACTGGGAGTGGATTGGGAATGGACTGGAATGGACTGGGAATAGACTGGGAGCCACTGGGAGGGACTGGGAGCCACTGGGAGGGACTGGGAATGGAGTGGGAGCCACTGGGAGGGTCTGGGCACCGGCTGTTCCATACCCACAGCGCCCCCTAGCGGCCAGGAGGAGCAACGGCGCCTCCCGGTGTCCCCACACCGAATCACCCACACCTGTGTCCCCTCCCCTGTGTCCCCTCACCTGTGTCCCGGCGGTGTCCCCGTGTCCCCCCAGCAGCAGCAGCACCCCCGGCGCCGCCTCGGTGACGCGGTTGGCGGCCGAGTCGAAGGCCAGCAGGCGCCGGGTGGCGCCGTCGCGGTGCCGCAGCCACTCCAGGGTGAAGGGGACCCCCGGGGCGGGGGGGGTGAAGGAGCAGTGCAGGGTCTGGGGGGTCCCCAGGAGCCCCCGCAGCCTCGGGGTCAGCGTGGAGATGGCCAGGGAGGCTGCGGGGACAGGGACGGGGACAGGGCGGGGTTAGGGGGGGACAAAGGGGACGTTTGGGGACATTGGGGACATTGGGGGGACATTGGGGACAATGGGGGCAACGGGGGGGACATTGGGGATATTGGGGACAATGGGGACATTGGACAAATGGAGACAATGAGGGGACATTTGGGACATGGGGACATTGGGGACACAGAGACAATGAGGGGACATTGGGGACAATGGGGACTGTGGGACACTGGGGACATTTGGGGGGGCTGGGGGGGCATGGGGACGTTGGGGGGATTGGGGATGTTAGAGACGATAGGGACAATGGGGACAGTGGGGACAATGGGGACATTGAGGACACTGGGGACGCTGGGGACAAGGGGACATTGGGGCATTTGGGACATTGGGAGGTGGGAGGACATTGGGGACATTTGGGGACATTGGGGGGATTGGGGATGCTAGGGACGATGGGGACAATGGGGGCAATGGGGACATTGGGGACACTTGGGCATCGGGGATATTACAGACATTGGGGACATTGGGACATTTGGGACAAGGGGACATTGGGGCATTTGGGACAATGGGGGGATTGGGGATGTGAGGGACGATGGGGACATTGGGGGGACATTGGGGACATTGGGGACAAAGGGACATTGGGGCATTCGGGATATTACGGACAATGGAGACATTGGGGGGACATTGGGGACAACGGGGGGACATCTGGGACATTGAGGGGACATTGAGGAGGACACAAGGACACAGGGATGGGGTGACACTGCGGGCGACACATGGGGGGACATTTGGGGCCATGGGGGCACACAGGTGACACACAGGTGACAACGACGCACAGGTGACAATGACACACAGGTGACAATGACACACACAGGTGACAATGACACAATGACACACATGTGACACACACAGGTGACAATGACACACAGGTGACAATGACACACATGTGACAATGTCACAAGTGACCATGACACACAAGTGACACACAGGTGACAACACAGGTGACAATGACACACAGGTGACAGTGACACAGGTGACAATGACACAGGTGACAATGACACACAGGTGACAATGACACAGGTGACACAGGTGACAACAATACAGGTGACAATGACACAATGACACACAGGTGACAATGACAAAGGTGACAATGACACACAGGTGACAACACAGGTGACAACAACACACAGGTGACAATGACACACAAGTGACCATGACACGCAAGTGACACACAGGTGACAACACAGGTGACAATGACACAGGTGACACACACAGGTGACAATGACACAGGTGACAATGAGGCACAGGTGACACACAGGTGACAATGACACACAGGTGACAATGACAGGCAATGACACACCAGTGACAATGACACAGGTGACAACGACACACAGGTGACACACAGGTGACAGTGACAGACAATGACATACACCAGTGACAATGACACAGGTGACAACAACACACAGGTGGCAATGACACACAGGTGACAACGACTAAATGACATACATGTGGCACACAGGTGACAATGACACACAGGTGACACACACAGGTGACAGTGACACACAGGAGACAATGACACACATGGGACACTCACAGGTGACACACACAGGTGACAATGACACACATGTGACACTCACAGGTGACAACGCCCCACGTGTGTCCCCCTCTCACCGTTGACCCTGGCCGTGTCCCCCGCCGTTGTCACCTGGTGCAGCAGCACCGTCCCCTCCCTTTGCGGTGTCCCCAGGGCCAGCAGCCACCAGCGCGTGCCCAGCCCCGGGTGGCAGCGCGGGGACGGCCCCGGGGGCGGCGGCAGCAGCGGCTCCGTGGGGCTCAGCTCGCACCGGGGGGGCGCCAACGAGGGACCCCAGAAACCCTGCAGCACCCCCAGAGCGTCTGGGGGGGGAAAGGAGGGGGTGGGATAGAGGAAATTCCCAAAAATACCCCAAAATCCCCCCAAAAATACCCCCCAAAATCCCCCCAGAAACCCTGCAGCACCCCCAGAGCGTCTGGGGGAAATGGAGGGGGTGAGATACAGGAACTCCCCAAAAATACCCCAAAATCCCCCCAAAAATACCCCCCAAAATCCCCCCAGAAACCCTGCAGCACCCCCAGAGCGTCTGGGGGGGGAAAGGGACGGGGTGAGATACAGGAACTCCCCAAAAATACCCCAAAACTGCCCCAAAATCCCCCCAAAAATACCCCAAAATCCCCCCCAAAAAATACCCCAAAACTGCCCCAAAATCCCCTCAGAAACCCTGCAGCACCCCCAGAGCGTCTGGGGGGGGAAATGGAGGGGGTGGGATAGAGGAAATTCCCAAAAATACCCCAAAATCCCCCCCAAAAATACCCCCCAAAAATACCCCAAATCCCCCCCAAAATACCCCAAAACAGCCCCAAAAAATACCCCAAAACAGCCCCAAACACCCCCCAAAAATACCCCAAAATCCCCCCAAAAGATACCCCAAAAGTGCCCCAAAATCCCCCCAGAAACCCTGCAGCACCCCCAGAGTGTCTGGGGGAAATGGAGGGGGTGGGATAGAGGAAATTCCCAAAAATACCCCAAAATCCCCCCAAAAATACCCCCCAAAATCCCCCCAGAAACCCTGCAGCACCCCCAGAGCGTCTGGGGGGGGAAAGGGACGGGGTGGGATACAGGGACGCCCCCAAAAATAAATACCCCAAAACTGCCCCAAAATCCCCCCAAAAATCCCCCAAAATCCCCCCCAAAAAATACCCCAAAACTGCCCCAAAATCCCCTCAGAAATCCTGCAGCACCCCCAGAGCGTCTGGGGGAAATGGAGGGGGGTGGGATAGAGGAAATTCCCAAAAATACCCCAAAATCCCCCCAAAAATCCCCCCCAAAAGATACCCCAAAAGTGCCCCAAAAATACCCCAGAAACCCTGCAGCACCCCCAGAGCGTCTGGGGGGGGAAAGGGAGGGGGTGGGATAGAGGAAATTCCCAAAAATACCCCAAAATCCCCCCAAAAATACCCCCCAAAATCCCCCCAGAAACCCTGCAGCACCCCCAGAGTGTCTGGGGGAAATGGAGGGGGTGGGATAGAGGAAATTCCCAAAAATACCCCAAAATCCCCCCAAAAATACCCCCCAAAAATACCCCAAATCCCCCCCAAAATACCCCAAAACAGCCCCAAAAAATACCCCAAAACAGCCCCAAACACCCCCCAAAAATACCCCAAAATCCCCCCAAAAAACACCCCAAAACTGCCCCAAAATCCCCCCAGAAACCCTGCAGCACCCCCAGAGCGTCTGGGGGAAATGGAGGGGGTGGGATAGAGGAAATTCCCAAAAATACCCCCAAAACCACCCCGAAAATACCCCAAACCGCCCCATACACCGCCCAAAATCCCCCAAAAATACCCCAAACACCCGCCAAAAATCCCCCCCAAAATCCCCCAAACACTCCCCAAAACTGCCCCAAATACCCCCCAGGAAATCCCCAAAACAGCTCCAAACACCCCGCCAAAAATCCCCCAAAACTGCCCCAAAATCCCTCAAAAAATCCCCCGAAACTGCCCCAAAATCCCCCCAAAAATCCCCCAAAACTGCCCCAAATACCCCCAGAAACCCGGCAGGACCCCCAGAGAGTCTGGGGGGGAAAAGGGAGGGGGTGAGATACAGGGACATCCCCCAAAAATACCCCCCAAAAAATATCCCAAAACTGCCCCAAAATCCCCCCAAAAATCCCCAAAACTGCCCCAAAAAATCCCCCCAAAACAGCCCCAAACACCTGCAAAAATCCCCCAAAACTGCCCAAACATCCCCAAGAAATCCCCAAACACCCCCCTAAAAATCCCCCAAACAGCAGCCCCCAGGAACTCCCCAAAAATCCCCCAAAACTGCCCCAAAAAATCCCCCAAAACAGCCCCAAAAACTTCCTCAAACATTCCCAAAATTCCCCCCCAAACAGCCCCAAACCCCCCCAAAATCCCCTCCAGGACCCCCCAAAAAGTGCCCCAAAAATTCTCCCAACCCGTCCAAAATTACCTAAAAATTGCCCCCAGAACCCCCCAAAATTGCCCCAAAACCCCAAAAAATGCCCCCAAATCCCTCCCAGGACCCCCCAAAAATCGCCCCCAAAACTCCCCAGAAACCCCCAAAAATCGGCCCCCAAAACCCCCCAGGATCCCCTCAATTCCCCAAAAATCGCCCCCAAAACCCCCCCAAAATCCCCCTAAATGGGTCGGGGATCTCTCACCGATGACGTCGAAGGTGTTTTGGGGGTCCCGGAGGGTCTCGGGTGCGGGGGGCCCCGGGACCCCCCAAAATTGCCCCAAAAACCCCCAAAAATGCCCCCAAATCCCTCCCAAGACCCCCCAAAAAATCGCCCCCAAAACTCCCCCAGAAATCGCCTCCAAAACCCCCCAAAATCCCCCCCAAATTGGGTCGGGGGTCTCTCACCGATGACGTCGAAGGTGTTCTGGGGGTCCGGGGGGGTCTCGGGGTGCGGGGGGGCCCCGGGACCCCCCAAAAAGCGGAGCAGGGCCCCGCGGGGGGAGGGGGCGCCGCGCCGGTCCAGCAGGGGGCAGCGCAGGGCGGGGGGCGGCTCCCCAAAAACCGCGACCCCTCCCCAAATATGGAACAGACCTGGAGGGGGGGGGGGGGGGGAGAAAACAGGGGTTTGGGGGGAGTCCTGAGGGGAGTTTGGGGATTTGGGGTGATTTTGGGGGGTCCTGGGGGGTTTAGGACATTTTAAGGGGGGGGGGGGGTTGGGGGTCCTGGGGGGGTTTTGCGGGCTTTGGGGGGTCCTGGAGGGGTCTGGGGAGATTTGGGGGAGATTTGGGGGATTTGGGGAGATTTTGGGCGTCCGGGGGGGATTTTGGGGGATCGAGGGAGGATTTGGGGGGTCCTGGAGGAATTTGGGGGGTCTTGGAGGGGTTTGGGAGATTTTGGGGGGATTTGGGGGTTCCTGGATAAATCTGGGGGGGTCTTGCAGGGGTTTTTGGGGAATCTGGGGGGCCCTGGGGGGTTTGGGGAGATTTTGGGGGGGATTTGGGGGGTCCTGGAGGAATTTGGGAGGGTCTTGCAGGGGTTCAGGGGGGATTTGGGGGGATTTTGGGGGGAATTTGGGAAGATTTGGCCTTATTTGGGGGGTCCTGGGGGGGTATTGGCAGGATTTGGGGGGATTTGGGGATTCTGGGGGGTCCCGGAGGGATTTGGGGGGGTCCTGGGATTTGGGGGGACTTGAGGGGGTCTGGGGAGGATTTGGGGGAGTTTGGGGGGTCCTGGGACAATTTGGGGCGTCCTGGGGGGGTTTTGGGGTCCTGAGGATCCTGGAAAGGATTTGGGGATATTGGGGGTCCTGGGGGGAATCTGGTGGAGTTCGGGGGGGGGGTTTGGGGGTCCTGAGGGTCCTGGGGGGATTTGGGGGGTCCTCGGGGGTTTGGGGGGTCCTGGGGGGTTTTGGGGGGTCGCAGAGGGGTCCTGGACAGGATTTGAGGGTTTGGGGGAGCCTTGGAAAGATTTAGGGTTGCCGGGGGGGGGGGGGGGTTTGGGGGTACCGGGGGAAATTTTGGGGCGGTTTTAGGGTGGAAACCGAAATTTGGGAAATTTTGGGTCAGGAATTTGGGGGTCCGGATTCCCGATTTTTGGGTTTCCCGGATTTTGGGGAGTCCCGATTTTTGGGGTTTCCGCGTTTGGGCCGTCCCGATTTTTGGGGTTTTCCCGGATTTTTTGGGGGGATTTCCCAGATTTGGGGTCGGGGAGGGTTCCGGGGTTGGGATCCGCCGGAATTTGGGGTTTGGGGGAAATTTTGGGGTCCCGATTTTGGGGGTTTTGGGCCCCTCCTCACCCGCCAGCAGCAGCCGCGCTCCCGCCATCGCTTTCGCTTTCGCTTCGGGCCACGCCCACCGCCCCAAAAACCCGCCCCAAAACCCCAAAATCCTCCAAAACCGCCCCAAAATTCCCTTCAGCGGCTTCGGCTGCGCTCCGAACCCCAAAATTCCCCTCAGGCACCCCAAAAATTCAGGGTCAAACCCTCAAATTTCCCCTAAATTTCCCCCTCAGGGGCGCTGGCCACGCCCACAGAGCTCTGGTCACGCCCCCACACCAAATCCACCCCCAAACCCCAAAATTACCCCAAAACTGCCCCAAAATTCCCCGCAGGGCTTCGGCCGCGCTCCGAACCCCAAAATTCCCCTAAGGAACCCCAAAATTTCGCGCTCAAACCTCAAATTCCCCCCAAATTTCCCCCTCAGGGGCGCTGGCCACGCCCATGAAACTCTGGCCGCGCCCCCACCTCAAATCGACCCAAAATTGCCCCAAAACCGCCCCAAAATTCCCCGCAGGGACTTCAGCCGCGCTCCGAACCCCAAAATTCCCCTCAGGAACCCCAAAAATTCGGGGTCAAACCCTCAAATTTCCCCCCTCAGGGGCGCTGGCCACGCCCCCACTCCAAATCCACCCCAAAACCCCAAAATGCCCCAAAACCGCCCGAAAATTCCCCGCAGGGCTTCGACCGCGCTCCGAACCCCAAAATTCCCCTCAAGAACCCCAAAATTTCGGGGTCAAACCTCAAATTTCCCCCCAAATTCCCCCCTCAGGGGCGCTGGCCACGCCCCCAGCCCCAAATCCACCCAAAATCGCCCCTAATCACCCCAAAATTCCCTTGACGCGCTCCGGCCTCAATCTCAGATCCCAAAATCTCCAAAATCACCCCAAAACTCCCCTCAGCCGCCTGGGCCACGCCCTCACACCCCAAATTTCCATGTAGGGGATTTGGCCACGCCCCATTTTTCCATTTAAGGCGTTTGGCCCGCCCCCAAGGCTGCGACCACGCCCCCAGCGTTGAAAATTCCCAAATTTTGGGGGATTTGGACCCAAATCCAGCGGGATTTTTGGGGTCTGGGGTGTCGGGGGGGTCCCCAAATTTTTTTGGGGGGTTCCTCAAATTTTTGGGGTTCTCAGGACCCCCAAATTCCCCCCAAAATTTGGAAACTGAATTTGAATAAAAGGCAAAAATCTGGATTCTGTGGCATTTTTGTGGAATTTAATTGGGATTTTTGGGACTGGGGGAGATCCAGGATTTTGGGGGGGCCCCCAAATTATTTTTGGGGGTCCCCAAAAATTTCTGGGGTGCCCAGGACCCCCAACATTCGGGAATTTAATGTGAATATTAGTCCAAAATTCGAAATTTGGAGCATTTTTGTGGAATTTAATTGGGATTTTTGGGACTGGGGGGGGTCCAGGATTTTGGATGTTCCCCAAATTTTTTTGGGGGGGGGGGTTCCTCAAATTTTTGGGGTGCTGTGGACACCCAAATTTGGGAACTGAACATGAACATAACACAAAAATTCAGATTTTGGGGCATTTTTGTGGAATTTTATTGGGATTTTTGGGACTGGGGGGGGTCCAAGATTTTGGGGGGGGGTCCCCAAATTTTTTTTGAGGGGGGTCCCCAAAATTTTGGGGGTGTCAGGGCTTGGCCTGGAGCTCCTGCTGGAGGCGCCCCAGGAGCTCGCGCTGCTGCTCCGAGCGCCGCTCCAGCTCCTGCATCTGCTGCTCGTAGCGCTTCCTAAATGGGGAAAAAATGGGGTGAAAAACGGGGATTTGGGGCAAAAATGAGAATTTGGGGGGAGAAATGGGGATTTTGTGGGGAAAAATGGGATTTGGGCAAAAATGGGGATTTTTTGGGAAAACTCCAGCCATTTTCCCCTCACTTTTCCCCATTTCCCCCCAGTTTTTCCCTTTCTTTCCTCAAATTTTCCATTTTTCCCCTTGATTTTTCCTCCCATATTTCTCCATTTTTCCCAATTTTTTTTCATTTTTTCCCCATTTATCTCCATTTTTGCCCAAATTCCCATTTTTCACCCCAAACCAAACCCACATCTCCCCTGTGATGCATTCCCACAATTTCCCCATTTTTCCCAATTTCCCCCCCATTTTTCCCAATTTCCCCCCCATTTTTCCCAATTTCCCCCTAAATTTTCCCAATTTTTCCCCATTTTTCCCCATTTTTGCCCAAAATCCCCGTTTTTCACCCCAAACCAGACCCACATTTCCCCGCTGATGTGCTCAGCCATTTTCCCCATTTTTCCTCCCATTTTCCCCCCATTTTTCCCCATTTCCCCTCATTTTTCCCAATTTCCCCCCAAATTTTCCCAAATTTCCCAATTTTTCCCCATTTTACCCCATTTTTGCCCAAAATCCCCATTTTTCCCCCAAACCAGACCCACATTTCCCCGCTGATGTGCTCCAGCCATTTTCCCCATTTTTCCCTTGATTTTTCCTCCCAGTTTCCCCCCATTTTCCCTCATTTTTTCCATTTTCCCTCATTTTTTTCCCTTTATTTCCTTAAATTTTCCCAATTTTTTCCCAATTTTCCCCAATTTTCCTCATTTTTGCCCAAAATCCCGTTTTTCCCCCCAAACCGCACCCACATTTCCCCGCTGATGTACTCCAGCCGTTTCCCCACGGTGTTTTTGGCCTCCTCCAGGTCCTGCTTGACCAAAACGGGGCCCAAAAGCTTAAAAATGGTGGTGGACTCGTCCAGCAAATTCAGCTCCTGAAAATTGGGGAGAAAAATCCAAATTTTGGGAAAAGGGGAGAAAAAAATTGGGGTTTTTTGGGTGGGGAAATGGGAAAAAAATGGGGAATTTAGGAAAAAAAATTGGGATTTTTTCAGGGAAAATGGGATTTTTTTTGGTGGAAAAAGGGAGAGTTTTGGGGGAAAAAAGGGATTTTTGGAGAGGAAAAAGGGGTGAAAATGGGGATTTTTGGGTTTCTTAGAGGGCAGATTTTGGGTTATTTTTGGGGCAGTTTGGGGTTATTTTTGGGGCAGTTTTTGGGTCATTTTTGGGCTATTTTTGGGGCAGTTTTGGGTTCTTTTTGGGGCAGTTTTTGGGTTATTTTTGGGGGCAGTTTTTGGGTCATTTTTGGGCTATTTTTGGGGCAGTTTTGGGTTCTTTTTGGGGCAGTTTTTGGGTTATTTTTGGGGCATTTTCCGAGGCAGTTTTAGGTTATTTTTAGGTTAGTTTTGGGGCAGTTTTTGGGTTATTTTTGGGGCATTTTTGGGGCATTTTCTGGGCCAGTTTTGGGTTATTTTTGGGCAGTTTTGGGTTATTTTGGGGCATTTTTTGGGGCAGTTTTTGGGTTATTTTTGGGGCATTTTTTGGGGCAGTTTTAGGTTATTTTTAGGTTATTTTTGGGCAGTTTTGGGTTATTTTGGGGGCAGTTTTGAAGCATTTTTGGGGCAGTTTTAGGTTATTGTTAGGTTATATTTTGGGCATTTTTGGGCATTTTCCGGGCAGTTTTAGGTCATTTTCAGGTCATTTTTGGGATTATTTTTGGGGCAGTTTTGGGTCATTTTCAGGTCATTTTTGGGGTTATTTTTGGGGCATTTTCTGGGCAGTTTTTGGTTATTTTAGGTTATTTTTGGGGTTATTTTGGGGGCAGTTTTGGAGCATTTTCAGGGCAGTATTGGGGCATTTTCTGGGGCAGTTTTGGGTTTATTTTTGGGCAGTTTTGGGGCATTTTCTGGGGCAGTTTTAGGTCATTTTTAGGTTATTTTTGGGCATTTTCAGGGCATTTTTGGGTTATTTCTGGGGTAGTTTTGGGTTATTTTCAGGTTATTTTTGGAGCGGTTTTGGGGCATTTTTTGGGACATTTTCAGGGTTATTTTTGGGGCATTTTCTGGGCAGTTTTAGGTCATTTTCAGGTCATTTCTGGGTTATTTTTGGGCAGCTTTGGGTCATTTTCAGGTGATTTTTGGGGTGATTTGGCGCCCCCCCACGCACCTCCTGCACGATGTTGTTCTCCGTCAGCTGCGTCTCCAGTTTCTGCCGCGCCGCCACCGCCCGGCCCAGCTCTGGGACAGGGGGGACCCCAAAACCGCGGCTCAGGGGGGGCCCCAAAACCCAACACAGCCCAGGGACCCCCCCCAAAAAATAACGGGGGGACCCAGAGGGGTTTGGAGGGTCTGGAGGGGTTTTTGAGGAGGGGTTTGGGGGTCCCAGGGGATTTTGAGGGGGGATTTCGGGGGGTCTGGAGGATTTTTGGGGAGTCCTGAGGGGATTTTGGGGATCCCAAAGGGTTTTGCGGGGGAATTTTGGGGGTTCCAAAGGAATTTTGGGGGTCCCTGGAGATTTTTGGGGGATTTTGAGGGGTCTGGAGGATTCTGGGGTCCCTGGAGATTTTGGGGTCTTAAAGGAGATCTGGAGGATTTTTGGGGTCCAGGATATTTTTGGGGAGGTTTTGGGGGGATCCCTGGAGATTTTTTGGGGAATTTTGGGGGGTCTAGAGAATTTTTGGGGGTCCCAGGAGGTTTTTGAGGGATTTTGGGGGTCCCAGGAGATTTCTGGGGGTCCCTGGAGATTTTTGGGGGGAATTTTGGGGGTCTGGAGGATTTTTGGGGGTCCCAGGAGGATTTTGAGGGATTTTGGGGTTCCCGAGGGAATTCTGGGGTTCCAGGGGGGATTTTTGGGGGATTTTGGGTTTTTTGGGTCTCACCTTTCTGTAACTGCTGATATTTCTCCAGCTCCCCCTGGAGCTTCTTCTGCAGCGGCTCCGCCATTGGGGGGGGGCGCTTTTTTTTGGGGGAGAATTTTGGGAATTTTGGGTCACCCCCCCCGAACCCCCAAATACCCCCCATGACCCCTCAGGGATCGCCCCAAAAAATTTCCAAAAATCCTCCCCCCGAAAAATCCAACCCACGTCCCTCCAAACCCCCCAGAACCCCCCAAAATCCCCTCGGGACCCCAAAAATCCCCTCGGGACCCCAAAAATTCCCCCAGGACCCCCAAATCCCCCTCAGGACCCCCAAATTCCCTCCAGGACCCCCAAATCAGGACCCCCAAATCCCCCTCAGGACCCCCAAATTCCCTCCAGGACCCCCAAATCTCCTCCTGTCCTCTCCAAAGCCTTCCAGGAGCCTCCCAGATTTCCCTGCCAGACCCCAAACTTTTCAAATCCCCCCAAAATCCCCCCAAAATCCCCCCAAAATCCCCCCCAATTTCCCCTCCCCCACCCCCGTTTTTCACCCTCCGCTCCGCGCGCGGCTCCAACGCTTCAGGCCACGCCTACTCAGCTATGCGCATGCGCCACACACCCGGAAACCACGCCCCTCACACCAAACCACGCCCGTTTCCCCCCATATTTGGACATCACCCCTCAGCGCTGGCCACGCCCCCCTCGCGGCGCCGCGGCCGCGGCCCGCGCTCCCCCCCCCCTTCCACCGGGGGGGATTTTGGGGGGAATTTTGGGGTTTTTGGGGCCGCCGGAGGTGAGAGAAAGGCGGGGAGGCTCCGGGATGGGCCCGAGGCGGCGGCGATGGCGGCGGAGGGCGGCGAAGGCGGCGCTGGCGGCGCTGGGGGTGGCGGTGCTGGCGCTGCTGGCAGCGGCCGGGCCGAGGAGCTGCTGGCGGCGGCCATGGCGGCCTGGGGGGAGGGGCGGGGGACCTGGGGGGAGGGGGGGCATGGGGACGAGTGGGGGATGGGCGTGGGGGGCGAGGGGGATGGGAACGAGTGGGGGATGGGCGTGGGGGGCGAGGGGATGGGAATTGGGGCGGTGGGTTTGTGAATGGGGGGCGTGGGAACGGGGCGGGGTTTGCGAATTCGGGCTCGGGGGTTTGTGAATGGGGGGCGTGGGAACGGGGCGGGGTTTGCGAATGGGGGCGCGTGGTTTGTGAATGGGGAGGGCGCGGGCGTCCCCAATGAGGGCGCGGGCGGCGGGAAATGGGGTCGGGGGTCCTCAATGGGAGCTCGAAGATCACGAGTGGGGGTCCCTGGGTGGAACTGGGGGTCGTGGAGGTGCCATTGGGGGTCCCGGGTTGGAAATTGGGGGTCCCGGGGGTGCCATTGGGGGTCCCGGTGCCGTAACCGGGGGTTCCCCCGCCGCCCCCCGCCTGCCTGGCGCTGCTCTCGGGGGGGCTCCGCCGATCTCCCCTCTCCCCTTTTGGGGTCCCCCGCGCCCCCCCCAGGTGCTGCTGTCGCCGCCCCCGTGCGCGCCCCCCCCGCCCCGTTCCTGCTGATCCTCGTGCCCAGCGCGCCCCCGCACCTGCAGCGCCGCCTCGCCGTGCGCGACACCTGGGGCGGGCCCTGGGCGGGCTCGGGCGCGCCCCCCGCCCGCACCGTGTTCGTGCTGGGGACCCCCCGCGACCCCCGCGAGCAGCGGGAGCTGCTGGCCGAGTCGCGACGGCACGGCGACATCCTGCAGGGCGACTTCGCCGACAGCTACGCCAACCTGACCCGCAAGACGCTGCTGCTGCTGCGCTGGGCCCGCGCCTGCTGCGCGGCCGCGCCCTTCCTGCTCAAAGCCGACGACGACGTCTTCGTCAACGTGCCCGCTGTCGCGACATACCTGGCGACGTGGCGCGACGCGCCCGCGCGGCTCTACCTGGGCCGCGTGCACTGGCGGGTGGCGCCCAACCGCGACCCGCGGAGCCGGCACTATGTCGCGGAGGAGCTGTACCCGCTGTCGCGATACCCGCCCTACTGCAGCGGCACGGCGTACGTGCTGTCGCGGCGGGCGGCGGGCGCGGTGCTGCGGGCGGGGTTCCGGGGGGTCCCGGTGGGGTTTGCCGGAGGATGTGTGGGTGGGGGTCGCGGCGCGGCGGGCGGGGGTCTGGGCGCGGCACTCGGCGCGGTTCGGGGGCTCGCTGCGGTTCCCGCCCCGAGCGCTGCTGCCTGGCCCGGGCGCTGCTCAGCGCGCACCGCGTGCGGCCCCGGGAGCTGCGCGGGGTTTGGGGGCGCCTCCCGGGGGTCGCCGGGGAGTGCGGGGGACTCTGGGCCCTGCTGGGGGTGCTGCGGTGCCGGGTGATGGCCCTGGGGGAGGGGCTGTGGGGAGGGGGCGGCGGGGATCCGAGTGACGTCATGGGAAGGGGGACTCCCCCCTCCTTCTGCCTTGCCGGGAAGGTGTGTTGGAGGGTGACGTCGCGGGAGTGACGTCATGGGACGGGGGAATCCCTGTCCTCCTCCCCTCTCCCCCCATGGAGACTGGCGTTGGGGGTGACGTCATGGGAAGGGGGAAACCGCCCCCATTCACCCCTGTGGGGGCGTTGTAGTTGGGGTGACGTCATGGGGAGTGACGTCATAGGAAGGGGGAATCTCCCTCCTTCTCCCCTCCCCATGGAGACTGGAGTGGAGGGTGACGTCATGGGAAGTGACGTCATGAGAGGAGGGGAATCCCGCTCCCTCTCCCCTTCCCCGGAGGGTGTATCGGAGGTGACGTCATGAGAGCAGGAATCCCCCATGGACACTAATTGGGGCGGTGACCTCATTAGTGGGGGAATCCCCTCCTCCTCCCTTCCCTGGAGAGTGTATTGGAGGTGACGTCATGGGAAGTGACGTCATCAGCGGGGGAATCCCCCTCCACCCCACTCCCGGTGGGGACGCAGTGGCTGGGGATGACGTCATGGCGTTGTGATGTCATCGGGAGTGACGTCACGAGCGGAGCCTGTGTGGGGACACGGGTGTGACACCGAGCTGGGACAGTGACACCGATGGCACCTGGTGTGACACCGCTGTCACCCGGACCTGGCACAATGACGTGGCTGTCACCTGGATGTCGCCTGGCTGTGACACAAGGACACCAATGTGACACCGATGTCACCTGGATGTCACCTGGACCCTGTGTGGGTGGCACCAATGCCACCTGGACCTGGCACAGTGACACCGATGTCACCTGGACCTGATACAATGACACCGATGTCACCTGGATGTGACACC